CTGGCGCGGCCCGCGCTCGCCCTGGGCCTCGTGTCCTACGCGGTGGGGCCCGCGCGGGACTGGAGCTACCTGCCGCAGCCCCTGCGAGCCGAGCTGCCGCTGGGCCCCCGCCTCCGCGACGAGCTGCCCGAGATCCAGCACCTCTGCAGCAAGCACTTCGAGTTCCTGCAGCAGCAGCAGAGACTCCCGGAGCCCGACCATGGCTACCACAGCCTGGAGGAGGAGCTGAGCCGGGGTAACTGCCCAGAGGAGCCGGGGGACAAAGGGCCCGAGGCCTCCCACAGCACGGGGGGCACGGCTGGGGAGAGTCCCCCATTGCAGACAGGGGGCGAAACTGTCAAGGAGGAGGATGAGCCCGTTTCGGCTAGGCCTGCATGCACCAACAAGCTGATCGACTACATCCTCGGGGGCACTGGTAGCGAGGACGAGGGCACGGAGGAGGAGGAGGATTGGGACGAGGACGACGGGTTCGATAGCGAGGGGCTGCTTTCAGATTCAGATGTGGGCGGGGAGGGCTCGCCCCTCTGGGACTCATTTTACAGCCTCGACCCCTACAACCCACAGAACTTCACGGCCACCATCCAGACGGCCGTTAATGGGTCCGGGGGAGACTCATCTGGTGAGTCAGAGGGTGAGGAGGAGGACGCTTCCTGGGCTGGAAGCTGTTCGGACTCTCCCGGTCTTACTTCTGGAGAGGAGGATGAATGGGAGTGCGGCAGTGTGGATGAGGCCGAGAACCTGAAACTCTGGAATGCCTTTTGTAATTCGGACGATCCCTATAACCCTTTCAATTTCAAGGCAGCCTTTCAAACGACAGCAAAGAAAGGGAAGCGGGACCTCATAGGGGTAGTGGGCCTGGGTTTGCTCAGCTCCGAGAGCAATAGCTTGCTGACCTGCCAGGTGCAGCTGGTGGAGAAGCAGAGCAGTGTGGTTACGGACTTGGGGCAGCATGGCAGTCTGCCTGGGAAGAGACATACCCGTACCAAGAAAAAAAAGGTATACTCAGTTTTTGGTCCATGTACTTCTATGTTAAATGCGGTGGTAGTGAGAACCCAATCTGGATCAAGGCTCCAGCATCGGAAGATACCGTGGGAAATTGTGTTCCCTTTTTACGGGATTTCATCCTCGGCGTAAACCCACAACTAGTTTAGGGTCGAATTAACTTGAAATCTGAATGTATATTTAGTTTCGGGTATAATCATAATGGCATGACATGAGTAACAGCTCCTTATGTTCGTATTTTCAATTCTAGATTTCTGATTTTAGATCATGGTTCTTTCCCTCCCTGTGTGCTGTGACTCACCTGAAGAGTTCCCTGTATGTGGAAGCTGATAAAGAGTCCATGACGTATTCTCTTGATTTTCCCCACTCCTCCCCTCCCATTTTGGAATAATCTTTGCTATGCTTCCCCCCC